CTGCGCCTCTCTCATACGACAGAGGGCAGCAGCACATCGCCAACACAAGTTTGTCGCCCAGCGATGCCACTCTCTCTCTGGTGCGCATGCGCACCATCCCCTTAGGTGGAAAGAACTGTTGCCATGGGTTACCGGCTACAGTTTCGCATAAGGCCGCCTCCTTTCAACACCGTGGTAAACACTGTTGTTGGGATCAAAGCAGCCATGGTTTTGAGAGAGGAAATAAACATGTTACTGGCAAAAGGTGCCATATGTGTGGTCCCTGCCTCGGACGTGAACAAAGGTTGGTACAGCCGTTATTTTTTTTTCGTCCGAAAACGACGGGGGCCTTCGTCCGATTCTGGACCTGAGAGTGTTAAACACATTTCTACGAACATACAGGTTCAAAATGCTAACACTCAGGCAACTTCTACATTCTGTCAGCCCGGGCGATTGTTAAATCGATGGTTGCAAACCAGACTCTTACTTTCATGTAGCGATTCACCCGGACCACAGAAAACTTCTGAGGTTTGCGTTCGAGGGCATAGCCGACGAATACCTGGTACTGCCATTTGGTCTGTCGCTAGCACCCCTCACCTTTTCAAAGCTTGTGGAAGCAGCGTTGGCTCCTCTGGGAGAAGGGAGTCCGCCTGTTAGCGTACCTGGACAACGGGGCACTAATAGCCAGCTCCAAGGAGCAGGCTACAGTGCGCGTCGGGCAGTGCGCGTCTCTCAGAAAACAGAGTAGCTGTGTTTTCACCACTACCTCGCTCAGTTTCAACTGGGACGCAAACTGCATTTTCAGACTGTTCTGCAATTGTTGGGCATGATGGCTTCTATGATTGCGGTAGTACCACTCGGGCTGCTAAAATGCACCGGTTTCAGCACTGGTCCCGCTCTCAGCGGCTGTGTGCATTACGTCACCGCCACAGAAAGCTAACGATAACTGCCTCATGCATGAGGTCTCTCTGCCCTCGGAGGGAACCCGGCCTGCTGTGCCGAGGCTCACCGATGGAGAGTGTCCTTTCGCAAGGTGGTATCCACAGACGCCTCCCTGGTGGGGTGGGGGGCTCTGTGCGATGGTGCGGCAGTGAGTGGGGTTTGGACTCTGAAGCAGTCCAGACTCCACATAAACTGCCTGGAATTGTTAGCGGTTCTGTTAACACTGAAACATTTTTATAAGGTTCTGAAGAACCAACATGTTCTGATCAGAACAGACAACACGACTGTAATGTCATATATAAACAGACAGGGGGAACACGGTCTCTTCCCCTGTTGGAACTATCTCACACTCTCTTGCAGTGGTGCAGCGTGCATTTCCTATGTATCAGGGCCACTCACGTTCCCGGGAGACTGAATCTGGGCCCAGATCTACTCTCCAGGGGCAGACCTATGGTGAGGGAGTGGAGGCTGCATCCCTCAGTGGTGGACCAGATTGGAACCTGTTCGGCAGGGCAGCAGTGGATCTCTTTGCCACAGGGGCCAACACCCACTGCCCTCTGTTCTTTTCCATAACGGATCAGAACGCCCCACTGGGGGTGGACGCTGTAGCCCACCCATGGCCCAACTGCATTTTCCCCAGTGGAGATAATACTGCCTGTACTGGAGAGGGTGCGCAGACAGGGTCTGCCTCTGATTCTGGTGGCGCCCCATTGGCCAGCGAAATCTTAATACGCCAAGATTATCGGCCTGCTGGCTGCTCAGCCCTGGCAACTTCCTCTTCTCCTAGATCTCCTCTCTCAGGCAGGGAGGAGATATTTCACCCACACCCAGAGTTGTGGAGGCTGCACATCTACCTGCTGAAAGGTCCTGCTTGCTAGCCAGAGGCCTTCCCCCGGCAGTGGTGGCAACTATCCAGAACGCGAGAGCGCCCTCCACTAGAGGTTTATATACCTACAAGTGGCACGCTTTGGAGCAGTGGTGTGAGGTTAGGCATATTGTCCCGTTTCAGTGCTCTATGGTGGCTGTTTTAACATTCCTTCAGGAGCTGCTGGAAAGGTCTGATTTTTCCACAATTAAGTCTATTTGGTAGCTATTTCTGCTTGCCATGTGGGTTTTGATGGAGTTATGCCAGGTGCTCATCCTCTAGCAGTGCGTTTTCTGAAGGGGGTCCGTAGGCTGCGGCCTGTTATTAAACCTAGTATCCCTACCTGGGATCTTACTGTGGCGCTCGAGGCTCTCTGTGACCCCCACTTTGAGCCCCTGGAGTCTGTGGATTTGAAGTCCTTTTCATATAAGGTTGTGTTGCTTCTTGCACCAACAACTGTTAAACGGGTCGGATCTCCATGCTCCGTCTGTGAATCCCTCCCAGAGACTCTCCCACTGGATTGTGGAGGCTATCTCTTTAGCTTACAGCAGCAGGGGTCTCCCAGTCCCATCTGGTGTGAGAGCTCACTCCACCAGGGGTGAAGCAGCATCCTGGGCACTATTAAAGGGGTACCTGTGAGTGACATCTGTGCTGCGGCCAGCTGGTCTTCACCGCACACATTTGTTCARTTTTATCGCTTAGATGTGACAGCCCCTTCGGTGGCTCACTCTGTGCTCTCCGCTGGGTCTGAAGTGCTGTACTAGCATGTTATTATGACCCAAGTTTGGTGCTGCTCTGCGGGGCGTTTATATATGTCCCATACATGATGTTGTACCGAGTGTATTGACTGAAAGGGAACGTAGTGTTATGCATTTAACTACTGTTCCCTGAAGGAAAGGAACGAGGTACAACACATGGTGGCCCCGCTGCACAGCTGGGCTCGGTGAAGAGCGGTTACCGAACTAAGGAGTGACTGTGATGGCGACAGTATATACATGTGTAGGCGGAGCCTGACATCTGTCGTCATCACTTCACCTGCCTAAAGGCGTGGTTAGAGGTGGCTTCAGCCAGGACACGCAGGGGCATGGTTTCCCATACATGATGTGTTGTACCTCGTTCCTTTCCTTCAGAGAACATTAGTTATATGCATAACACTACGTTTTCATGCAGCTGGTTCATCAGTTCAGTGCTGACTTCAGGTATCCCCCCCCCACCCCCCAAAATAATCCACAGGCATGTCAGGCATTCTTGTCATTATTGGTTGACAGGTTTACAACTTTTGAGACAGGTTTACAACTTTTGACCCACACAGGTCAAAGGTCTCCTGTAGACCCCCTCGGCTGGTGGGCTTTTTTTCTCCCACTTAAAACCTTAGATGAACTGGGGGCGGGGGGGGGACTCGCTGGCCTCTGTAGAAACGAACAAAAAGAAGGGAGGTGGACGTTTGCCCCTGTGCAGACAGAGACAGAGGGCTGTGGTATGTGGCCCCCCTTGAATCTTTCTAAAGACAGAACTTTTAAACTTCACACTGGACCTTTTGTACTGCTTTTCTTTATCCAACTTTCTACATATTTTACTGTTTTTATTGCTCACTTCCTTTTTCATTGAGACTGTTGATGATTCAGAGGCATTGGGTCAAAAAGGCTTAAAATTTCAGGACAAAGGGCATCTAAACACGCAGGAAAAAAGATTTCGAAACACTGGAAACTTYGGAGTAAAGACAGTAAAGTTAACATCAGTCCAGCAGTAGGTTTAAAATCCCTCAGGCCCAGAAAGCAATTTACAAAATAATCTATTCTGTTTGCAATATTGACTTTGAACACTTTAAAACACATAAAGAAGGACTTTTAAAGGATTTAAAAGTACAATTCTTATTTTAATGTGCCTTTTCGGTGTATGTGAGTGTTTATTGTGTTTATTGTATGTATGGATCACCATCTGGGACACTTTTGTCTATTCTTATGCATTTGATGTGTCGTTGTTTTTCTAATGTTTAATTTTTCTTTCCTCTCAAAGGTCATCGATATGGAGATGAGTGATTCAGAAGAGTGTGCAGCAACTCCAGACTCGTCTGCAGCGACACAAACTGCATTCAAAGCATCTCAAGTGAAAGTGCACAAGTCYGCCAACCTTCACACTGGTTCAGTGTTAAAAGTGCCTCTGGCTGCCACAAACTTGTCCCCTAAATTCTCAGAAACCGACGGGGATGCAAGCYGTTCTCCAGACACAACTGTTCAGCCCGTCAGATTTGAAGCTGTTCCCAAAACAGAAGACAATGTGGCAACCGGTCTGACCCAATCTGTCTTCAAATTGAAATCTGCGAGAAYCACTTCCCCTTCTGTTGCAACCACCTCAAATGCAACCCGCGCACACAAACCTGCAACAGGGTGTGCCCAGATGAAAAACAGAAGCGTAAATGCATCTGAGGCGACAGCAGCTTCTGCTAAAGCTGCACAAGTTCGCTGCAGAAGTTTGTCTAAAGGTGATGAAAGTCCTCGGTGTGTAGAAGAGAYGCCTAAAGTCTCGATTGCACCTCAAACCTTGGCTTCTGCTCCAACACACGTTGAGCACGGAAATCACGACGCTTTAACGAAGATGGTCCACAGGAGGAAATCAGTGGGTGAAAATGCAGAAAGCCACCAGAATAAACCTGAGCACAAGCAACCACACAAAGAGCCCAGCTTGTCTGCAAATAAGGCTCCAAGTGGAAACTGTCTGAAAGTCGGCAAGTGTTTTTGTAATATGTAACAGAAATCACTTATCTGTGCGCGTTATTATCCTCTGATTTTAACCAGACATCTGGATTTTTGTGAACTTTCAGGAACAAATCAGCTGATTGTTGTGACCTGTGAGAACAAGAAGCAGATCTACTGTCTGCTGTGTTCAGAGAAATTGAACATATCCAGTCAGTTTCACCTGACCAAGTTTGACCACCAGCTTAACTACGTGGTATGAACATTTAACATGTTGCATTAGTAATGCATGCAATGAAAACAATACAATGGTTATTTTTTTTGTTGTGGGGGCTTTATCTATCTGTCTGTCTGTCTTTATCCAATCCATCTAATCCATCTAATCTATCTTTATCTTATCCATCTAATCTATTTATTTATTTATTTTAGAAAATGAAGTACCCTGAATTGACTGCAGAGGAGTTGGGGCAGAATAATAAATTGAGTCACATTGTGGCTCCCCTGGCGAAGATTGAGAAGGACTTGCCACCACACATCCGGATGGCACAGGTGACCTGCTTTAAGATGGATCTGAATGAACATTAATCAAATTTTCATATTAGAAAAGTAATTCTGTGGAAAAGATCTGCTTCTCATCTCTCTCTATAAAGATCTAAAAGTCAGCCACTGCTGTGAGCACTGCCGAATGTCCAGTTAAAACAAGTTTGTTTCAAGGGCATTATTCTGTGTTTTTATTAAAATAAAATTGGAACTTGAAATCAGCAGGTCAGACTTTTTAAAGATCAATGATCACCCAGAAACCTGCAGTCGGTGGCCCCATATTTTAAAGGTCTTTTTCACAACATCTCGGTTTATTTATTTAAGTTTTTGCATGCTTTCTGGCTGCCTCTGCAAGACTGAGGCAGCGGGGGTGGGGTCTGAAGTCAGCCCACCCCTGAAGTTGTGCGCCACTTTTTTTCCCTTTTTTTTGGTTCCATGCTACTCGCTTCATCTCTTAAAAACTCTGCACCTGTGTGGGACACGGTTAACTTGATCTGTGATGTATGATGGCCAGAGGAAGCATGAGACGGACTGGTTTATGCAGAACCGTTTTATAAAAAGCCTTTAGTCAGCTTGCTCTGATATTTAACAAGTGAAGTTCAAAATTTAGCATCATGGCCTCATGTTTGGTTGTTTTTTGGGAAATCTGTTATGTTGGTGCAGGAACATGTATTAAAAGTTTTAGTAGTGCAGTTTTGTAATTACTGCTGTTTGGTTTGTTTGTTTTTTACTAGAAACTGAAGGTGAATAAGGATGTGTATGAAAAACTGAGGACACTTTCAGACAAAAAAGGTAAAAATGAAAGTTGAAAACAGAGTTCAAAGGATCATTTTTCCTTTTTTTTCCCCCCTCAAAGCCACCCAGTACTTATTGTGTTACACAGGAAGCATCTGTCTCATCTAAATTATGACCTTGTCTGCACAGCTCTTTGTACTTGTTTTTCTTTATCTCGTCCTTGAAACCTGCGCCTGTCGTCATTCTTTTGCAACAAAGCTCCTGCAAGGCCTTTCAGCTCTGTCTTCCTGCCTGTCACTGTCTCCCACACAAACATCAAGCATTTTCCTCTACAAAGTTTTACAGCTGTGCACCACTCAAATCAAACCCTGCTTAATGTTGTCAACAACCAAGTGAACAAAAGCATGTATTTATGTTARCTTCATACCAGGTTTTAAAGTGAAACATTTACATGTTCACAACCTGARGTGAATGACGTTGTTGGGATTTTATTCATTTTGGGATCTTGCTGTTCTTGTCTTCTTGCTGCCTAGCTTTGGAGAGAGTGAAAGAAATGTTGGGACAAAAAGCTGATTCTTTGGGCAGGTCGAAGCAGGGAGCTTTCAGTCCGTGTGAAGTTTCCAGCTCAGATGATGGTAAATTAAATGACATAATAAAAACATCTGATTATAGACGCAATTAATTCCAGTCACTGAACTGTTTGCTGCTGTCTTTTGTTTCTCAGGGTTGTTATTGTCTTGGGATGATCAACCAGAACACGAGGACAGAACTCAGCATCAAACTTTGAACCAAATGTCAGGTGAGATCTAGAATATATCTTGTTTTATTTTTTTTAAATCACTGATCAAAACAAACAAATATTTGCATCTTTCCTATCTAAACAAGTTATTGTTTTTGGTACAGAAGTGGAGTCCAACGTGACAGACGTTAAACACATGGAGAGATATCAGGATTTGGATGAAATCATAGATATTAATGACTATCCATACGAAAGTGATCCAGAACCGAGCCAGAGTCCTGGTTTTTACACTGAAGTCATGGAYGGTATGTGATACCTGGATTTTCTTCAACTAAAACCTTTTCCAGTGATACGTTCTGTATTTACACCTCARTATTATTTGTGTTCACTTCAGTCACTAATCCGTTCGAGTCAGATGAAATTATTTGGTGTCAAGATGAAATCACACCTCAGATTGAGAGATCTGGTAAATACTGAGCTTTTTCTACAAAATGTATTGKTTTTTTTTTTATAGTTTCATTTTTACACTCGTCTTAAAACGGTAATGTTTTGGTGCCGTTCGTTCATTCTGTGGATGGTTTCTTGTCCATGCTCTGACTTGATAACAATATTAATTTTTTGCCTTTTTTTCTCCAAGGACTAACGGTACCAGAAAAACCAAGTGTTTCAGAAATAAAACAACCAGATCAGAGGAACAAAAAAATACATCAGACACAGCAGTTTCAAATAAGGGGTAAAAAAAAAATCTAATGTAAATTTTTGTTTATCAAAAAGAAAAATCAGCCAGACATTTTGAAACGGTGCAGTGTTTGATATTTTATTGATCCTTACGCAGAAATGGGGGCGAATTTGAAGAATAAAGAAAACTGTCAGTTGCTGGAAAAGCAAAACTCAAACGCTGCTCAGATTCAGGACCAGCTTGATGCAGACGTCATTCTGATTGACCCAGTTGAAAAAATAACAGGTATCATTCTGAGATTTTATACCCAAACCTTTTGATTTTACTTTTAATTTAAAAATGTTTATTATCATATTAGCACAAAATGTGAATTAGAATGTTTTCTAGCAAAATCTTCCTCTTTATGTTTCAGAAGCCAAAGAGCGTTCTCTCACTCCTGAAACACAACGTAGGAAAAGTGAATCGACTCAGCTGCAGACCACTGCGTCGACGGATCAGCAGAACACATCAGAACTGAGCCACAGAGTCCTCAAAGCCYTAAACTACGGCTCAGGATCCGGAGAGCACGGTTCATCTCAGCCGCAGCCCCAAATTTTATTTGGTTAGTTTTAAGCATTCCTGTGCGCTTTTATTTTGTCGTTCATTCAGCTAGTTTGTAATAAAACCTGGTTGTTGCAGTGAAAGGAGCTCAGGGCAACAGTAATCTGTCTCACTACCTGAAGGCACGTTTCGGTGAAAGAAACCCTGAGAAACCGATCGTTGGTGAGTGCGTCCAGCTGCTTTCTTGCTGCTGCCGTTTTCTGCCACATCTGCAGCGTGTTCAAAACTGGTGTTCTCTTATCAGGCAAGGACCTTGTCTGGGAATGTCAGGGGATTACTGAGAGAACGTTCTACCTGTGTGAAGTCTGTGAGAAGAGACTCTGTCATTCAGAAATCTGTGACCACATGGCCAGCCAGGAACACCAGGTCGAGTTCCTGGTGGGTGTTGGTAAAAACGCAGGACAACAAACGCTCGGATCACAGCAGCATTTTCATGTGATGTTTCTGAATGTTTTGCAGAAGAAAAAGCACCCAGGCATCCATCAGGAATGCTGCATGCCAGAGGATTTGGCTCAAGAGAACGGAAAGTTCATTTTAAACGTCGTCAGCCAGTACCTCGCAGAACGGGAGGTGGGCCTGGACGCACAGGTACTTAAACAGGTCAACAGACGAGACTTACTTTTAACACGTTAACTACAATATGTTTCAGACTTACTAGTAACAAATGATTAAACAAGAATAACACAAAATCAGAAAAAGCTGTGTTATCAAATGTGAATTGTCAAAATTCACAATCTGTAATTCCAAAAATATATAATTTCATTATCAGATAAGCGTAGGAGGAAGCAGATCGTTTTCACTCATAATGATACAATTATCTATACGTATTTAGTGTACAGCACAACATTCATAGTGTTCTTTTATCAAGATTTGAAACTGTTATAAAGGCTTGGATTGTGATTTTTATTGCAGCTTCTAATCTGCSACCCCTTTTTGTCACAACCCGCCGTAAGACCTTKTCACCCCCYTCTGCATAGGAAATTATTGTTTGKTCAAAWGTTTKTAGGCATGTTTGTACTGAAAAAGCTCGGACGCTGCATTTTGGTTCAACTTCCCCACGTCTAGAGTCTGTCGATTGTTCAGCTTCAGATCATATATGCAGGACACTTAAGTCCTGTTTAGCTGTTAATGTTTTTTCTATTTCCATGAGGGAATTCCTCCTCTGCACCTAATTTTTGTGGTGTACCTCAAGGGTCCACTTTTGTTTCCATATTCTGTTTTGTTTATAYATGCTACATGTTTGGTATCTACAGAAACGCCAGGATCTTGGCTAGAAGCTGGTWAAAAAAAAACATTCCATGAACACCCAAGGCAGTTAAAACTACAAGATATTGAAGATTAAACAATGAAAGTGAAAATAAAATTGGTTTAAAAATTAGAAAAATCAGTTGTAAATTATATTTGTTAAATAGGAGGAATAATATGTTATTTTTAGTTTTGATATNTTATTACATAGGGTTCTGTATGTTTTATTTATGATAAAATAAAAATTAAATAAACTGTTTCAAAGAAAGGTAACAGACATTTTGTAATACTTGCTTTATTCACATAGTGATTGTAACTGCTSTATTTGCTGGCCCTTTAGCTTTTGGCCCGCAGTAACTGTGGCCCTGATGTAAAGCATATTAAAAAATATCTCACAAAAGTGATAAATGTTTCTCTTATTTGTGTTTATTTACTTGCAGTGCCTTCTATTGACTCCAGAGATGCGTCGTTTTGTTCATACCGCTTCGTTCGACGAAGGTAACTACCAACTTAATCTTCAACCATTCAGATGTAATGGTTCAACTAAACGCTCATTAATATGCATGAATTCTCTTTGGTAGCGTTGAGAACTGTGAAAAGCTTCATGAAGGGRAACTCTGGTGACTTCTCTCAACTTATCTGTGCCTCCCAGCAGAGCTGTGAGTGAAACACAATAAACTAATTATAAATGAGAATAATAAGCTTCAATGTTTTCTTTGTGTTGCACAGAGCAGCAGCCTGAAGACCAGCAGAGTGAGAAAAGGTCTCTTCCTAAAAACACGATCAGATCTCACACTGGCTCCYAGTTCATTAAGGGATTCTAAAATTYWAGTTTTTACTTTTAGAATGTGTGTTCACACACAAACTTATGGCCACGCCCCCAACTTCTTTGTCTTCTGGTGTAGGGATGGGCGTGCTCTGCCATCCTGGATACAGGCTCCTCATCCTGATAAATGAGAATATATTAGTAAGTGGTCCTCAGGATGTGCTCAACCATGGACCAGGCAACATTTTGTATTGAGCAATTTGAGAAGGATGGCTGTCATTGGGATTGTGAACRTACTCTGACCATACAAACAAAAACATAAGCATTGTCTTGTGTAATCCTGCCTGTGAAGAGTTGAGCTTTCTCTGCAGTTATTGGACCTTATCTTCTTTTCCGGCTTACAATTTAATGTTTCTGAAAACTGTTACTGGTGCAAAAACAAAAATCAAGAGTATGCRTTTATAAATGCATCCTCTGTAAAGCTCGAAGGTCTGTCTTTGTTTTTAAATACATGGTATGTTGCTAAGCATTTTTTTGTCTGTCCTTAAACCTTTCTTGCTTTTATTGTGAATCACTTTGKGATTTTTATATCTATGAAATGTGCTGTATACAGTAAATAAACCTTGAAGTGGAAATCTAATCTGAATATGCTGAACGATATAATGTACAAATTATTGCAGTCTAGATTAATAAAGACTTTCTGACAGTTTTGAGCAAAGGTTATCATTAGTTTTGCATTATGACTGTAGAAACATGATGTAGTTATGGCTTTCAACTTGCATGAAATTTTACCTGCATTTTTTTATTTAAATGTTTTCTACAAAAAGAGTTTTTTTTTTTTTTTTTAATAGAACTGAAAAGAAGTTGTATGCTACCCACCTAATGATGTTTTTAACTCGTTTTTTCTCTTGTCTCTCATGAAAGCTGTTCAGAACCCAGAAAAATCTAGTTTGGAGAAGACGGCCAGGGTTGGAGATTNAGTTTTTTTTTTTTTTTTTTAGAAATATTGCCCCTTTTTATGAGTCTACCACCAGTTGATGTTTTTAACTCGTTTTTTCTCTTGTCTCTCATGAAAGCTGTTCAGAACCCAGAAAAATCTAGTTTGGAGAAGACGGCCAGGGTTGGAGATTTGGTTGTGGTTGGAGAAAAAAGAGGCTTGAGTCTGGAATTGGACCCTTCCTGCTCCAAGGATGAGCCCGTTGTCTCTTCAGCCCCCGTTTGTACGAAACGTGTGCCTCAGGAGGCCTGCAGAGGCTTATCTCCACAACCAAATGTGCCTCCGATCCAAATCTATGATCCACAGCCACAAGAAAAATCTGTGTCAGTTTCAACACATCCTACCACTGGTGCCTCTACAACCTGTCAAATTCCAAGGGTGTCCCACTCAAGCAAATCGTTCCCAGTCAGGAAAAGAGCAGCAGAAACTCCTCCTGAAACTCTGCTCCAGTCAGTCACCAGCAGCCGACTGGTACACCCATTGTCAGTCAAATGCACACCCAGCCCCATGAATGTTCAGAATGAGCCCGGACCTCCGTCTACCTCAGAGTCCACGTCAGGTAACTCTACAGAGAGCCCCACCCCACAGACTCTGCAAGATGAAGACTCTGGTCCCAGTTCAACCAAATCCACAGCGAACTGGGAGCTATATGCAGGACTGATCTCCATGTTGAAAGATATTAAGCAGACTGACCTCACGGCAACCTGTGACAACGCCGAATCTAGTACTTCATTTGAAAATGTGGAAAATAAAAATTTAAAGCCACTTACTATGGATTCTGGTAAGACAGAATCCAAAGCGCCACAAACCCCGTGGAGCTCCAGTGCTCTGGAAGTTTTCAGAAGTGCGAGAAGCTTATCAGCTGCAACCTGCAACCAAGAACAAGACCGGACACCACAGAGTTACCTAGAGCCCAGCAGGTTTTGTCAGCAGACCATCGGCACCATCATAACAACYMGAACAAAYCCCGTTCAAAATGCCTTCCAGGGYGGCAAAAKCAGACAGACTCACACCGATGTGAGCAGAGAGCATCAGGCCAATTTCCAGTCAGGTTCGACGGTCAGTCTCCCCGACTCTGTGTCCGTAGGATCGTCTGTAGGTTTTAACGCTCCACATAGCCAGGATGCCTACGCCACACAAGGAAATCCGATGTCTTTATTTGCTCAGGCGGTCACAGGTTGTACAACTCAAAACGATCCCCACATCAGGGCTGCAAGCTCATGTCAGGGGTACATCTACCCAAACCAGACGTATCCGGACCAGACCAGAAACCCGTTCAGCCTTCAAATGGTCAGGCACAGTTCAGAAGCTCAAATGCTCTCAGGATGGGAGAATGGGGGTGTGGGTGTGCATCAGCTTCAGTATTACCACTTTTGGGCAAAATGATCAGGAAAAACTGAGACTGTTTTTTTGTTTTTGTTTTGTCATATGGTATTATTTTACTATAAATATTGGCCAAATGTCCTCACTTTAAGTGCAGTTTGTGTTTATGCCATGAAGAGCTGTTTAAAAAAAGTTTTTTTTACACAGAAGCATCTTTGATTCTTTATTTCARTTGTAATTTATTGTTCCGATTATTGTTTCCATATACAACTTGAACACTATTGGTCAAGCATTATTTGTATTTGACTGAAAATGTCAATAAGCTCTTGTTCCTGTTTTTTGAAGCAATTTCTTTTTATTGAATTAATCATTTTAATGTAATTTCTCTACATTTGAGACCAGTATTAAACTTTTATACATACTTTTTATAGGCTGTTTTTGCAGAATACTTGAGATGGTTTTTTTTGTAAACAGAATGTATTAAATATTTCTTTATCGCAGCTCACTCATTTTTCAAACTTTCTGTGAAAATGGACTTGCTGAGTTCAGATAACTGTTACCTCTGTCACCTCTTAAAAGTACAATAGTTGAAGTTTGTTATAAAATAAGAGTAAAATGTTTTAGATGTACAAATGTGTGTAAGTGGTTTTTAATTCTTCACACAATAAAAAACACTAAGGTACAAGTTTGATTTTCAGCCCTTTTTCAGGGCTATCCAGTAGGCGGCATGGAGGCCACATCTGGCCCTGCGTGAGCTCAGTGGCCCACAAATCTCTGGCCCTGTACTAGACCTTTCACATGCCTCACTATTTGTAGACCTTAAGTTGTGTTGTGTATTGAAAATCAGTGGTCTAGGGTTGAGCCTCTGTTGTGATGTGATCAATGGAATCTCTGACAGGCTTGTTAGTTTCAAACTGAAGCTTTATTTACATACAGAGCCTGGGTCAAATCGTGAGCCTTCTGAACTCCCCTGAACTTAGGGTAGACTATAAACATTGGTCACTCCCAAATGAGAAGCAGACATACAACTGATAGACTTAATCAGTSTAGATATCATTTCCTCGAGCCTCCTAGGCTGTGAAGCTGATAACCGGACACCATGCAAATATGTATTTTCTCGAGAATTATTCCCAGAACAGATGGGTTTCAGYGTCCTTATCCCATTTCCTAATAAGAAAACCTTGAGGTCTTACATAATCACATTCCACAAAGGCCCATCGTGTTCCAGACACCAACACATCCTTTCAGCCCAGGCTCAGGCGTCCCTCCAATCAGTGTTGCACCATCCTGTTCCAGACACCATGGGTGTGAAAGCCATAGGCAGTGGGTGGGACATGCCCCCCCCCCCCCCACACACACACACACACACACTTTTTTCAGCCGAAGCAGAAAAAAAAAGACCTTTAAAAATGTGTCCCCCCACTTTTAAGATGGTGATTACGCCCTTGCCAGACACCTCAATAGCCTTTAAACTTAAAAAAACATTTTTACCAGAACATGAAGTGGGAGTTCTGATGCCTTTGACATTTTTTATTGCTTCTCTTATTTAACTTCAGTAGTTAYTAAAGTGCAGCTTGAGCTTTTGTTTTGATATAAATGAAATGTAAATGAGCATTTCTGCTATAACTAAATCTCAGGTGAGACACAGTTTTTTTCCCCACTAAATGGGGTTCAAAATTATGAAAATTGGGAGTTCCAATCAAAACATCCACTTTGAGATTATCCCATGTTTCAGTTCTGAATAACCTGCTGCAATTTTTCTAAATAAATGTGGTGTGGACAAACTGTGCTTGGATTCTACACAAAATTGTTTGTATAGAAAAACAAATGTTCTCGCCGGTGTCTGTGTGTGTGTGTGTGAAGATGATTTAATATCGTCTTGTTATTCTTCAAATAAACATTTTCCTATTTTAAACAAATTTCCAGAGACAACTAGTCAACATTGTTGAGGACATTTTATTACCAAAAATATAAATACCAATAAATCTAATTATAAACATTTATATAAAAGTCAGCATAAAAGTAGAACAGCTATGAACTAGAGTCAAATAAAATTAATACGGGATGTTTTTGAAGATGATTTAATATCGTCTTGTTATTCTTCA